AAAAAAAAAAAAAAAAAAAAAGCTGTTCATAGAAAAATCTGTTTAGCTGTACCAAGTAGTACAGTGGCCAATAGCCAATATTTATGTAGCTGTGCATTTCCTGATAAGAGCTCCCGTGCCTTTACAGGTCCATTTCTCATCTGACAGAAAAGACCTACAGACAACTCAGGTGGACGTCAACTTCCAGGGATTCCCCATTTGTGAACTGGATTTTCCTCCCAGACAATTTGAGAATGTGCACGTTTAGGAGTGAGATAGAGTATTCAAAGCACAGCTGAGATAGTGCACTCTGTCCTTCCTGCACCCAGATTTTAGAGAGAGGTGTCAAAGTGTTTAGTCAGATGTTTCTAATTTTTAATTTTCTCTCATCTTAGTGTTCATCAGAATCACCTGGAGGGCCTCTAAAACACAGGTTTTTGGGTCCAAGTGAAAGTGGTTTTGACTCCGGAGGTCTGGACGGAGGCCTATTTAATTTCTGTGAGTTTTAACACTGTAGGTTCATGACTTGAGAACCCTCTGTTCTTGCAAGGACCTTGCATGATGTTATTAGAAATTTCCACAAGAAGAAATGAAAGCTCAACAAGGAGAGGATAGTTGCGGAAGGACAAAGAGTGACTGTGACTATAACTGCCAGAACCTGAGATTAGAGCTTCTCATTTTAAGTAAAATGAACTAGGATTTCTACTTATGAACTTTTTCCCAGTCCCACTGAGTTTGAGTCTAAAAAGCATTTCTAAAAGCAGAAAAGCAACAATACCAATAAAGACAAATTCGGTCATTTGTTTCTTAATATCGATATAAAATGTGCTTATTTCTATATTCCAAGAAAGTAAAAGTAAGATAAAGTTTCCCTGGCTGTAACTATTGGCTTATAATTATACCACACTGTGTTATAATAACTGGTAAAGTACTTGGCTCTTCTTGCCACATAGTCAATAAAACTAATAAACATATATTTTGTATGACAGGTCTTAGGAATTTATCAGTTAATTTTCTCATGTAATCCAAATAAAATAGTCATTTCTTCCGAATATCTTAAGGACCTTAAATTTTTGTTATATTTTTTAACTTAGAACAGATAATTTACTTCTTGTCATTCTCTGAGAAACACCATAATTAACTCATGAAAAATAGTTAAATTTAGAATACCTGTTTCTGATACTCATTCAGACATGTCAGTTTTGAGTGAGACCGTGGTAAGGATATGAGGCGACACACTGAAAAGGACTATTCTCTCCCTAGGCAATGCGCTCCATGTATCAGAAAAATGAGTAGGATGAGCCTACCCTTTCCATAATATCCAGGTAGGAGGAAGAATAAACGTTGCCTGATAAAGTCTGTGTAACTATGAAATGAAAAATATATAAGAAAAACCTTTGAAACTACAGCACTGCTATTTTTGAGGTTTTTCCTTAATTTAGTTCACAAACTGGCATGTGGTTCTAACAAAGCAACCTTGCTATAAGCGTAAAATGACTCAAAAAATGAATATGTATGAACTAAACGGACAGAGAGGAGAGGCATTGCCCAAGTTAGGTGGGTCTAACTAAGAAAGATTCTTGCTCAAAACAGCTTCCAGAAGGAATCCAGAGGCAGTGCAGTATATGAATTCATGACTGAGATTAGCTGTTGTACACGTCTCTGAAGTTTGCTAGTTCAACAAATCATCTCTCTGGAGACGGCTCCTGAATCTGATGTCAAGGGCTCTGGTCCAAGGCAGGTGCACGGTTTCTCCCATCTTCTCCATGTGAAAAGGCTGAGGGGGTATTTCCTGGCTTCAATTCTTTGTAATTCAATTCTTGGCAAATGTTTCCCTCCCAATTATGTATTGGTATGTGTAGAAAGTGAAGGTTGGGTTCTGGAAATATTACATATGTAAACTTGTGTTAATTACTCTTTTGAAAACTCATGATCCTACAGTGTCGTGCATCTTGCAAGTGCACTTTTCAAGCATTTTAGCTTATATGGGATTAATTCCCCTTTATTCACCCTTCCACTTAACCATCCATTCAAACTTACACCTATCCAGTCATTCAGTGCTAGGTCTGAACAATTATCTCCATCTCGGTCTCATCCTTTGGCAATTTGAACATTTTTATTTCACCGGAGAGCTTCAAGCAAAGGTAATAAGTCTCATGACCTCAGTTCACAGCGCAGCTCTTAACAATATTTCCTTTCTAGTGTTCTGTAATAAATATAGTAGACCTTAGAGTGACATGGCTACACATATATTTCATGCTTTTACCTGGTTATCTTTTGAAAACAGGTGGGTATTACCACTTACCATACAAAAAGGGGTCTATTTCTCTACCAGTTTTATTCTTCATGCCACCTAGACCCTCCTTTAGAGCTTCTGCAGGAGTTTCTTGCTCTTCCTCCTCTACTATTTCTTGTGTCCCAGCTAACCACTCATGGTATCTTTGACTCCCTAGGTGTGAATGTCTCTCTGATATGCCCTACGCCTACCACACTGCATGCAGAACAAGATGCTTTCATTCACGGACCTCAACTGAGCTACCTCCGTCTGGATGGAAATGAAATCCAACCTCCAATCCCAATGGATTTAATGACCTGCTTCAAGCTTCTTCAGGCTGTCATTATTTAAGGACATCTTTTAGCAAATCCAGAATTAGCTTTGAAGTGAGCTAAAATTTCCTGTGGCTCTTGGGGGCCATTTTCACTTGTGCAGGTTCTTTTTTTCCACACAAAGATGCTTCTGCACTTCTGCCAGTGGCATACAGTGCAGCTTGTATTGATTTGCTTCTCAATTAATAAATCAGACACAGAGTTAAGATAGTTTAGCAACTCAAAGATAGTTACCTTTGTTTCTTTTACAGATTATTAACATTAAGTAATACCTTCACATTGTGAAATAAGAAGTGCATATTTGTGTATATTCAAAATTAATTATACTGGTGCTATCTGTACAGTACAACTATGGGAATTAAAGAAGATGTAGCAAGATTAGGAGCAAACTTAAGTTTTCCTTATTGTGATTATGATGGAGCACATGAAAATTGCTGAAAGGATTTTGGGAATACAAGTGTGGGATTTAAATCAAGAATGGGTACTAAGTGAGTCAAATGCTGCACGAAAGGGCATTTCTAGTCCTTTAATACTGAACAACAAAGATGCAGAAGACACCTATAATTCACTACCATTTTATTAATGTTTCTTTTAGATATAGAACACCATGCTTTCTAGCAATTAAAGAAGTTCTAAATTTTACATTTATTGTAAAGAATTTCTCACAGTCATCATGTTTTAACACTTTGAATTGCAAATTGTTCAATTCTTATTTTGTCCATGATTTTGTATTTATAAATAAAAAGAGGAAAGGCTTTCTAACAAATGAAACAAATATATGTTTTGAGAAAATAACTAGCAAGTTTCATTTAGGAACATATAAGAATAAAAAATGTAATATTAATAGTTATTTTTATTTTTCTAGCATGAATATATACAAATGTGTTTTCTTCTCTCTTCCTTTTCCTTACCCTTTCTGTAAACACAGGAAAAATATAATGTTCTTCTTATTTGACATACTTTCTTCTCATGAGTTAAAAACGCAACCCAGTATGTCATTACATAATAAAGTATACTTTAACTTTCTAATTTTGTAATACATGTACTATTTTTTTTCATTGAGTTATTGGTACAATTTAGGTATGCAATACGGTTACATTCATCTTTGGGATCTTGTACCTTTAAGTGGGACAAGTTCTTATTTTTTTCCCCATTCCCTGGCCCTCTATTCACCCCCTCCTTCCTTATTTACAAAGACTTTGTTTCCGTGGTTTTCCTTTTCTCATATTTTTTTCTTTTCTCTTCTTACCTTTCCCCTGCCCCTCCCACTTGCCTACTCTTTTAGATCTTTTCTCCCTGTTACACAATTTCAATTATACATTTTGATCCTTATTTACACTTTAAGGTTTTCACACCAGGGAAACCATTTGGTATTTACACATGTGTATCCTATTTATTTCACTTAAAAGTATAGCCTCAATGAGCATCCACATAGCTTTAATGTCTCTGGTTTCTTGCTCTTTATAGCTGAGGAGTACTCCACTAAACACACACACACACACACACACACACACACACACACACGCACTCATGCACACATCTTCTTTACCCAGTCTCCTATGGATGGGCAATTGTGCTGTTTCCAAGTTTTAGCTATTACAGACTGTTCTTCTATGAACATTGGTGAGCATGTATCACTGTGGTATGATTCTTTTAATTCTTTAGGGAAGATACTGAGCTGGGTCAAATGGGATTTCTAATCATACTTGGCGGTATCTCCATATTTATTTGTGCACTGGTTGCACCAAACTGCACAGACTGCATTTCCACCAACAACGAAGAAGTGTTCCTTTCTTCGCACAATCCCAGCAGCATCTTTCATTGGTTGATTTTTTTGATAGCAGCCATTCTTTCTGGGGTGAGGTGGAATCTCAATGTTATTTTTATCCACATCTCTTGAATGATCAGTGATGTTGAACATTTGTTCATATGTTAATTTGCTGCTTTTACTTGTTTGTCTAAGAAATTTCTGTTCATTTCAGATGCCCATTTTTGGTGGATCTAATTTTTTTAGTTTTTATATATTCTAAATAGTAGACCTTTGTCTAAGGAATAACTGCTAAAACGTTTTTCCTACATTGTAGGTTGTCTCTTAGCTCTGTTGGTGATTACTCTTGCAGTGCAGAAGCTTTTCAAAAAGATGAGATCTCATAGGGCCGGGGATTTAGCTCAGCGGTTCTGCCATCTGCCTTGCCAGTGCAAGGACCTGAGTTCGATCCCTGGTACCGAAAAAAAAAGGATTCCAGTTGTTGATTCTTTGCCCTACTTGCCATGCTACTGAGGATTTGTTCATAAACTCTTTTTCTACGCTGTCTTTCAGAGTTCCACCTACCTTATCTTCTAGCAAGTGTAGTTTTTGTTTTAATGTTTAGATCTTTAATCCACTTGAATTTTAGTTTAGTGCATGATGAAAGAAAGGGGTCTAGTTTCAACTTTGGCAAGTTGAAATCCAGTTTTTCCAACACCATTTGTTAAAGAGGCTATCTTTCTTCCAGTGAGAATTTTTGACTCCTTTCTCAAAGATGAGACAGCTGAGCATGTCTGGAGTTGTGTCTGGATCTTCTAATCTATTCCACTGATCCTCAGGTCTGTTTCTTTGCCAGTACCATGCTGTTTTTATCACAGTGGCTTTGCAGTATAGCTTCAAGTTGGTAAATGTGATGCCCCCTGCCATATCTCTATTGCCTAGAGTTGCTTTTGCTATTCTAGGTTTCTTCTGATTCCAAATGAATTTTTGGATTGCTTTCTCTAGTTCTGTGAAATATACTGCTGGGATTTCAATCCGGATTGCATTCAATCTGTAAAGGAGTTTTGAAGCATTGCCATTTTCACTATATTGGTTCTTCCTGCCCAGGAACAAGGGATGTCTTTTCACTTTCTCATATCCTCTTGGATTTTTTTTTTTTTAGAGTGTTGTAGTTCCCGATGTAGAGATCTTTTGCTTCCTTTGTTAGATTGTTTCCTAGATATTTCATTTTTTTAGATGCTATTGTTAAGGGGATTGTTTCTCTAATTTCATTCTCAGCAAGGCTGTTATTTGTGTACAAGAAGGCTATTGATTTTTAGTTTTTACCTTGTATCCACCTACTCTACTGAATGTGTCAATGAAGTCTAGAATTATTTTGTTAGAGTTTTTTGGGGGGTCTTCTATGTAGACTATCATCAGCAAATAAAGAGAGTTTAACTCCTTCCTTTCCTATCTTTATTGCTTTTATTTCTTTCTCTTGTCTAATTGCAGTGGCTAATGTTTCCAAACAGGATGATGAATGTCCTTGTCTTGTTCCTGATTTTAGTGTAAAGGTTTTCAGTTTCTAACCATTTAATAAGATGCAGGCTTTTTTTTATAGATAGCCTTTATCAAGTTGAGATAAAGATCATCTATTCCAATTTTGTGCATGGTTTTTTATCATGAATGGATGTTCAATCTTTTCAAATGCTTTTTCTGCATCTATTGAGATAATCATATAGTTTCTGTCCTTTCTGTCCAATACAGTACATTGCATTTCTTAATTTTCATATGTTGAATCACCCTTGCATCCCTGGGATAAATCTGACTTGGTCAGGGTGTATAATATTCTTGATGACCCCCTGTATTCTGCTTGCCAGTGTCTTATTGAGGATTTTTGCATCTATGTTCATTAGAGAGACTGGCCTGTAGTTCTCTTTTTGGGTTGGGTCCTTTCCTGGTTTTGAAATCAAAGTAACACTTGCTTACAGGAATGAATTTAGAAGTATTGCTTCCCTTGCAATTTCATTGAAAAGTTTAAAGAATAGTGGCAATAGTTTTTTCTCTAAATGTTTTTTAGAATTCAGCAGTGAAGCATCAGGACCTGGGATTTTCTTTCTTGCTAAATTTTATTATGTTTTCAATTTCCCTGATTGTAATTGGGGTGTTTAGAATTTTTTTATCTTCTTCATTCAAATTTAGTAATTTTATATATCTAGAAATCTGTCCATTTCTTCTGCATTTTCTTTTATTATAATAAAGATTCTTGAGGTAGGTATTGATGATCCTCTGGATTTCTGTTGGATCTGTTGTGACTTTGTCTTTTTCATTCTTCATTGCATGGATTTGAGCCTTTTCTTTCCTTATCTTGATAAGTTTGGTTAAGGTTTTATCAATTTTATTTATTCTTTTGAAAAATCAACTCTCAATTCATTAATTTTTGTGTCATTCTCTCAGTCTAAATTGCATTGATTTCTACTCTGATCTTTATAATTTCCTCTCTTGTATGAGCTTTGGGTTTGTCTTGCTCTTCTTTTTCTAGGAGCTTAAGATTCACCATTACCTTATTTATTTGAGCTTGCTTTATTTTCCTAGTGTGGACACCTACTGCTATGAATTTCCCGCATAGAACTGCTTTCATTTTATCCCATAGATTCCTGTATGTTGTACTGGTATTATCATTAAATTGTAAAAATTGTCTAATTTCTTCTTTAATTTCTCCTGTGACACAATGATTGTTCAGTAGAGTGTTATTCAATTTCCATGTGTTTGTGAAGTTATTGGGGTTTCTTATACTATTGTTCTCCAGTTTAATTGCAGTGTGGTCTGATAATATACATGGGATAACTTCAATTCCTTTTCATTTAATTAAACATGTTCTATGAACTAGTATATTATCTATTTTGGAGAATGACCCATGCGCATCCAAAAGAATGTATATTCTGATTTTGTGGGGCGGAACACTCTGTAGACATCTATTAAGTCCATTCATTCAAAAGCTTGGTTCAGTTCTAGTATTTTGTTGTTGATTTTTTTGTCCAGATAATACAATAAATATTTCAGAGTGATCAATTCCTGCTTTCATATGTATTTTCCAAATAGTTTTCTCAAATAGCCTATAAGTTTGATCTATTTCCCTCCAAAATATACTCAGGATCAAAAGTTTAAAGTTCAGTAGATTACCACAAAGATCTTCAAAAACGTATGTCCTGTTACATTGTGAATTATCAGAAAAATAAGTTGCAGTATTATCTATTTTCTCACCAAAACTAATTTGGATATAAAGGCGAAGA